ACTGCTAAATTAGGGACGGCTAGCGCAGATAGCCCTCGTGTAGCTTTGCGCGAAATTCAAACCAAACCAAAATCTTAACATCTTTGGAAATAATGAGCTGGTGCTCACTTTTTAGAGGTAAAAGATCCAATAATTTATAGTGCGTATTATATTCAAGAGGTTGTTAAATCTATGTGTATTAAATGTTTGTTATATTTGATTATTTCTTTCTTGCCACATTTCGAATAAACGTGGCAACTGATAATTGATAATTCCTGACTAACCAAAATTCACCGGTTTTCTCTAATTTTGAAGTGATATACTATAGGGAAGGCATCTAGTCAACAGTAATTACTGTCCATTCCTAGGACACTCTAGTCTGATCCAATAGTAGGTCTTGATCGTCACATTTATAACTCATCCATTTTTCTTCGCACTAGCAGTAAGCGAACAATGAACCAGTAAATCCACAATCCGGCAGTCTAACCACTGGGCCACACTCGGCTCAATAAATAAAAAAATACTCCGTTAATCTCGCCTAAGCGAATATTAGTAATAACTAATTATTAACATTTATTAAAAAAGATTCGGGTCTTTGGAACTGAGATATTCACCAAACATGCTCGCTCTTTCAGCCGTGGGGCCGCTGTTACAGTCAATCCCACTATTCATTGGTAAAATAACAGCTCAAAAGTTGGCTAGCTGCCTACCCTCTACTCTATCACTTCAGAATTAAGGACAGCTAGTGTGGATAACCCTCTAGTGCCACTGCTCAAAATTCAACATACAAACAAATTATAAAAATTGGCTACAATAAAACAAAATAATTTCGGTCAACATCCTTCAAGTTAGGAATACAGTCAAATTTAATGCCGTGAAGTTTAGTTGATTTTGACAAACATTACCCAAGACCTTCGCTGTAAAATATTATTATCCACAATAGATAGCATATAATATAAATATTAAGCAATCAGCTTTGGATAAAATCAATATTACATAAAGTAGATTAAAACGGGGGGACAAGAGTCCTGCAGCTCAGCCCTTAAAAAAATCCATTAAGCCAAATTCATCATATTTTTATTTCCTTGGTACGTTTTATTCAAAAAAATTTTTATTTCATTGGTACGTTTTATTCAAGAAATGAATTTTTGTTATGTGAAATTGTACTTTCACTGTGGAGGAAGGTGGATATCATATAATTCACTTGCTCACGTGCTTTAATCATTGTGATTATAGTACCAAACACAATAGTTTTATTCGGAAGAAAGATTGAAAAAAAAAGTGTGGAGATTGCCGATCATAAATGATATTTCATAATATTAAATTACATTTCTTTTTCGCCATATCAGTTGATTTGTCTTACGTTTAAGGCTTTTACTTGATATACATATATACTCATAGTTTTCGCGAATAGATGCGTATTCTGAGTGATGCATCTAAAGAGCCAGCCAGTGGCTCAGCAGTAAGCCTGAAGGAATATAACGCTAAAATTTAGGTTTAGATGTTTCATTTATAGATGGAGAAACAGACAGATTCTCAACATATTGCATTCTGTCAGTCGAGAAATGTCTTACTTATATCGTTTTTAGACCTTTGAACATGTATATTGTTCAAGAGGTTTTCCTGGCAAACCTATTCCTTTTGATGAAATATACGATTTACAATTCTTTTACGTTTCTAACTTTCTAGTCATGCAAACAGTAAAAAGTGCATAATATATATACCCTACAAAAAATTGATATTCGTATGCCCATCTACTGAAAGGTTAACATTTATTGTTTTGTAATTTTGTCTGATGATATCTAAGAGATCTATCATCAAGATCAATTAAAATGAGCATTAGAAAACTCAGTGAACAACATTGTTTTTATCATTACTTGTTACGTTTTTTAAAGATCAGTACTATAGAATGCCCTGGACCACCTCTTGGTTAATTGAATTTTCTCTATGTTAAAAGCTGTATATTCCCAGTCAGTTTCTAGTTATAAAATGTAAGTGTTTTGCGAATACTTGACAAGTGGAGCTGATAATGATTTAAACAACTGAGAAAAAAAAATCTTATATAATACTGCAATCTTTTTCATATACAAAGTGTGTAATCCAAGTGGTCCCAATCTTTTGGACAGCTTATATTCTTTTTGCCAATTAAAATGCATGTAAATGTTCTCATTTTTTGAGCGCACATCTATATTAGTTCTGTTTATTGCGGGAATCGAACCCCGAACTTCAATATTGTAGGTTCGTAAACTTACTGCTGACCTACCGGGGAACCATTAAAACGTAGAAATAATCTATATGATGGTCAAACTAATCCAAAGTTTTAAAAGTGGATTTTAAGGTAAGTTATTTCATACTCAATTATAAACTAATCTTCAAACCAAATTTCAACAATTGTGGTTTCAATGTTTTGTAATTATAACCATACTATTTTTATACTTGTTTATTGAAGTATGAGTTATGTTAAAAATCCCCATTATCTTTTTCTTCTTCTTCTTTTTTTGCTCTGTGGCAGTGGCTTTCCATGTCAGTTCCCTGCTAACACTACTATAGTAGACTGCCTGTACACCTTAAGATGTTTTCTAGTTATAAGGTATTAAGTTGTATCTAGCTATTTTGTTGTTAATAGGGTAAAGCATCCCCAATTGTATAATAGTACAGGTTTTTGTAATTGTGACATAAATAAGTCACACTCCCAGCACTGTTTGCTTGAACTGCGTTATAAAGTTTGAAGGTAATCATGAAACCAACTTGCGAGATATTATAGACCGAAATAAATCGCAACTTTATGTTATACTTACACCATGATAGGTCCTTTATACAATAATATTTAAAAAGGCACAGATCACTCTTTGTATCAATTTTTCAGAAAATATACGTTTCCTAAACGTTATAATGAAATATTATTTATTATGAGCCCAATTTCGCTCGTTAAAAGATTGTAAGGATTAAGAAAGTATGGTTGTAGAAAGTTTATTGAACAAGTTTTAACATTTAATGGTATTTGCTTAGTTCATAGTTCATAAGTAAAAGTCCATGTTGAAAGAAAATGTAATAAGAAAAAATAACAAGTCCTTACATTCCAAAAAGATACACTCGAAAATAAAAGAGAAAAACGAGAGCATAGAATATTTCCACTCAGTCTGACTTCGGTAATTTTTACATTAGTGTTTTCCTGAAGGAATTTTTTTTTGGACGAGTAAGAAAAGAAATATACAAAAGTAAAGCTCATCCCTTCAAAAGAATATGTAATACAGTGTTTAAAATTTTCGTACACAAATTAAAACTTATAACTTTTAAAAGAGGAAAGAGAAATATTTGCGATAAAGCACATATTGGTCTACAAATACTAAAATCCCATTTGATCTCCCTAGTTTCAGTGTAAACCAGATTGAAGACTTTGTCAATAGATAGTTCCAAAACGATATTTGTAGAGTAGATAGCAGAGGTCGTTCTGTGGCGCGAAGATGTAAAATCTGTAATGCCAATTCCGATTAGTCTATGCATTGGCACGATAGAAAAATGCATTTAAGCGACGCTATAAGCATTTTAAGAACATACGAATTATATATATCTTAAAATGATTTCTCGACAACCTAGAAACAAGAGAAGACGTGTTTATTATTTTCAATGGGGACCAACTCCTGTGTGACAAATTAACTAATTGAGCCTAGTTAGAAACTTAAAGTTGAGACATAACCATCCCTGATTTGGAACTGTTGACCAGAGTGGGCAAGCAGTCAGCTGTATTCACTGTTTATGCAGCTATTCATTACAAAGCAACAGGATTGACTATCAAAATTATAATGCCCCATACCTGAAAGTGTGGAAAATGTTCAGAAAAGCTAGCAGCTCGAACTTTGGATTTTTGTTTCACAGTCGGCATGGCAATCACTGCTCTACACCCGGACCTCAAGCGAAGGCATTGTAGCCTCATTAACTGAAGCCTTTTAATGTATATCGTGAAAATTATAGAGGAGCGCTTCAGTTTCACTTGTAATATCAAAACCCGCGGTGGTTAAAGTTTAAAAAACAACTTTTTCATTGATGTTCGCAAACTTCTGATGTCATTACAGCTACTCAAAAAGACATGAAAGAATGATCGTTAATTATATTATCATGTTCTATGAGGAAGTGTCAATCTGTATGAAACAGTCAACACGCAGATATGTCAAATTTGGAAGATAAGAGCCTTGCACCACTCACATCTCAATCAAAATCAATCCTTTTTTTACACTGTTTTACAACGAGAACGACGATCTATTTTTCTTTCAAGAAAACTAGTTACGAAGACATTCTGGATAGCTTTACTTCCTTTCTGCGGTTTGAAGCTTTGATGTAAGTGACGTGAATGTGTTTGCAGTTTAGAGCTCACTTCCAGCTGTACTTTCGGATCTCAAGGATATTATCAAGGAAACAATTGATGTAATTACAGACACTATGCTTGTCAATGTGTTTGAAGTACACCAATAAAAGTAATCTGGGGGTGTTATTAAACATGAGTATATGTAGTCTATTATGTACTTCCCCACTTTTCTAACTTTCTCTGTTTAAAAGTTATTACGTTTTAAAATATTAATAACGATTTGAAGACACATTTTATAACGTGTCTCCTGAAATATAGATACGATTTTTATTATTCAGGTAAATATATTAAATGGATAATAATGGTTTAATAAACAAAAATGTTTAAACAAACCAACAATACTTGGATTGACTGTTCATTATTTTGTGTTTTAACTTTATTTTGACATAATAAGTAAAAGTGTGTGATTGCTACTTAACTGTATTACAAATTTTAATTTGTACGAATTCTAACAATGTATTAAAGAAAAAAAAATGTATAATTAGTTTGTACGAATTCTAACAATGTATTAAAAAAATGTATAATTAGTTTGTACGAATTCTAACAATGTATTAAAAAAATGTATAATTAGTTTGTGCGATGAGGTTCTCTATATATATATATATTTAATTACCATTATGTTTTTCTGATTACATATTTTGATTTTTTTTTCTTACAGAAAAAATTGTAGGTATTGCAGGATTCAAAGTAGCTTTGCCATGTAATATCACTTTACCATCCCCTAACGACGAACTTTTACTCATATTGTGGTACAGAGGAGACACATCGAATCCATTGTACACTATGGATGCTAGACGTAGTGCCACAAATCACTCTCGGCATTCTTCATCTGATAACTTGTCTGGAAGAGCTTATTTTAGTGTTGTGGATAGACCAGCTGTTCTAATCTTAGAGCCAGTATTTGCAGGGGATGCTGGAACCTACAAATGTCGAGTGGATTTCCGAGTAGCCAGAACAAGATATTCCAAAGCGGAGTTGTCAGTAATCGGTAAAGGTTTTATGAAAAAATAACTAGTAATATATGAGTGTTTATAGTTTTCGATAATTTATCACTTGAGTGTTTCTGTAGTTTGAAAAATATTACCATACTTTAAACCATATTTATGGAATACAATATATAATATACATAGAAGAATTACACTATATTACCAAACGTACTAGGACAGTAATAAAACGTGCAAGGTCATTAATTCATATTCATTTATTAAATTTCTAATAGGATGTTGTTGAACCTTCGACAACATTCACAGTTGAGATCCTGTCACTAATGCTTTATATAAAATTTCGGTAGAAAAATTAGGCGTAGTATTACAGTATTCATCCAATGAAGTGAATGCCAGTTCAATAGTGGTTTATTGTTTATTGACTCAGGTGACATCCCAAACGTTGTTTAACTGGATTTAGGTCTAGACTATGGGCTGGTAGTACTTATTTTCAATGTTGTTGTTTTCGAACAAATTTCTAACAGACATAGCAGTATGCAAGGCTTTTTTTCATTCTAGTAGACATAAGGGACTTCACCATAATACTTCATCAGTGCTGGTACTGCAGCATTGTGCAAAATATTAATATAAGATTAGGCATTCATCCTTCCCTTCACTACAACGAAAGGATCCATTCAATACTATGAAAAAGATATCCAAACCATTAGATTTTTCTACCACACTTGTTCACTGATGGGACAGCAGTAAGTTTAAGGACTTACAACTCTAAAATCTGGGCTTTGATTTCCGTAGTAGACACAATGGCTTTGTTATGAAAACAAACCATCAAAATGTACCATCCTTCACTATTGAGAAAACACAGTCGTATCATGTAGCATTTTTTTGGTTTACCCCGTCGTCAGATGGAAACAACTTGTACTGTGATTCATTACATGTGATGCACCTCTACTGTTGAATACACCAGCTTCAATGCTACAGCACCAATTTAGTCGATACTTTGCGTTCAGGTTTGCAACCATGGCTTGGAAGCAGCATCATTTTCATACTTCTTACCTGCCTGTACTAATATTAACATTAGCATGATGTGTTGTCTTCCATTTCCACAGTTCACTTGGAATAACCCAACGTGATTGACACGATGCCAAAACACATACCCCCCCCTTACCCTTTCGTATCTGATGATACCCAATAATTATTCCTCATTCAGTCCCTGTCAGTTATTTACCTCGTGCTATCTTGCTTAGAACTAAGATTTTATACCTGCTGCTCCGATTTATAAGGTACATGCTGATTTACAGACTGGGAAACAAAAATGCAAATATATGTTAGAAGGATTTAGTTCATGTTTAAGGGTTTTTGTCTCGATACTTTTGGTAATATATTGTGCACTTATTATTCATAAACAAAAACTAAAGAACAAAAAACTTGCATACTTGCATTTAAAGATGCATAATACTTAATTTTCATCCACAAAGATTAGAAAATGATGCCTCATTGCAGAATTGGCCACTGGAAGAATGATTATTTAGAATAATGTAATGAAGTTTTTTGTTTGATTTTGGATACTTGGATACTGAAACGTTACCTGAGCTATTAGAATTTGGAACTGACAGACGAGAGGGAAGGCAGATAGTCAACAACATCAACCACCAACTGTTCGGCTAGTCTTATCCGCCCAAATAATGAGAGTTGACTGTCTCTCTTATAACACACCCAAAGCCTCATTGTGTGGAGCAAACATGTTTCTGGCTGTAATGGCATGTGAAGGATAGACCCATTGATTCATATTCTGGTAAACTAATCACTGGGCCATACTCAGTCCATAAAAATTAGAGAGAAAGATCACAGTTGTTACAGATGGATTTAAATCCAAACAGTTCATAACGATTTACTTAATTATAGAATATGATCGCCAATATAAAGTAAGGAAAAGCAAGAACAGCTTAGCACAAATGATGCTAGCTTAAAATTAAAGTGTTGCCAAGATTCTGAGTTATTCTCAGTCACTCTTCTAAAGAAGCTGTATACATGGCATCTCTAAACTAGGGAGTCACTTGACAGTAAACGACGCACATCCCTAAAGAATCCGATACATGAAGATGTTATCATTAATTAGGCTGGAGTCAGGGCCAATTTATCATTATATGGCAGCACACTTGCATCATTTTCTTGTATAAAAATGGAGTTTAATCTGGTTACAGGTCCTTTAAAGGTTACTAAACATTTATTATCTAACTGTAGGGTGAAACATAAAATTTCTCCGAAAAAATATTGTTTAACGTTAACTGGTTCTATGAACATGTTCTTGAAACCGTTGCAAGGGCTGTGTTTTATATTTGATGTGAGTAGAATGTATCCCATCATTTGGCGATTACTGGCATACAGGCCATATTTTTCTTTTTTTTTACTGTATGTACATTAGACATCGAGTCTAGTAGTGACTGTGAGTAACTGAGTCAATCCTGGAACTGGTACCTGTGATAGCAGGGAACCAAATTTACAAATAACAGTTATTTATTTCTGTTAAGAACGTCGGTCTGCCTCATATAGGTGAATGAACAACTATACCATTGACTTATAAAAAGTTACGTATTCAGTCAATGATACTTTGAGACAGTTGTAAGAAATCTGGAATAGACAGATATGATTGGACAGCTCACATCACGTGAGTGACATACCCAAACGTCTCATTTGACTATTATCTAACCAATAGCTCTGGACCAATTCCATCATTAAATTAACATCTTGAAAGCAAGAACTAAGACGAGATAGTGTGAGGACACTATTGTTAAAAAAGGCGGAACGATTAATCATATTGAAGTCATATGCCTAATCACTAGATGCCAAATTTGCATAGCAATTAATTGAAAAGGGTGATTGGCATTGTTTTATAAGAATGGTAATTCCTTGTTATAGCAATAATATTACAAATTACATTTGTCGTTTAATTGTTTTGTATAGTAGTTCACCATCTAAACTTTGGAGATAAAAGCTAATTTGTTTGCTTTGTTTTGATAAAATGGCAAACTTCTGATTGATGAGAATAATATTTCCAGTCTGCTACATTTGCGTATTATAATATAAATGTGTGCTAACTGTTTAGTTATTGATTCATTGTCATTTATTTTACTAAAAAGAAATATTATATCCATATTACAGCAAATACTTCAAATTCCAAAGGTTAGTGTATTCAGTTGGATTACTCTAAAAATTCAGTCTGTATACGTGGATGTGAGAGTTGTATAAATGCATACTATACCAATACCTAAACATACTTTTGATAATTCAAGAAAATTAGCTCAAGGATATTATATGAAATGACCCAAATGTACAAATACTGCTGTTAAAGACCACAAAATCAGAATGAGGTCAGGTAAATCATATTGTTAGTGGTATCATTTATTTTTCTTCGCCAGACCTAAATCTTGAATTTTTGATTTCATAACTTTCAGAAATTGAATTATATTTTAATTTTTCACTGAATGCAACATAATAATTTCACACGCTGCTATTTAAAACCGAATTCTACACCTGTTTTCAGTAGCTCCAGAGCATTTCTTACTTTATTTGTATGTGTGTTAATTTTACTCTTTCTTTGTGTTTAATCTTCCTTTTTATAGTTTTCTTAGTTGTTACATTTTAATATTTTCATAAGAACAGAATAAATACCATTTTCAGTGAATTAGCAACGTGTACGATTAGTATCATAGTACATACGGGCCTTCAAGGCCATCTAAAATAATGAAAAAAAAAAGTATTCCTCTAGCACAAATAACTTTACACTGCAATATATTCTTCTATTAAGCATAAATATCATCCCAAAGGTTAAGAGAAAGAGTGGAATAAGTCTTTAGGCTACATCTCCCTCTAGTGTAGGGAACATACCTCCATATTTCTGGGAGGGGGTTAAAACACACTGATTGTTTTAGTTAGAAGGTTATTTTCTAGACTGTAATTAAATTAACTTCAACAAGTTTAATCAGTTGTTCCTATTATTGCTACTTACGAGATCTGGAAACTGTCTAGTCATAGTGTTGCCATTCACCAAAGTACACAGCCTGGTGACTTAGCAACTAAAATGCAAATGTAGATGGAATGTAGTAAGTAATATATTTCCCACTTTCACCTTGCTTTAACCAATTCTACCACAGTATCTCTCTTTCACAGAGTGAATACGTTAAAATATTTTATTGAGGTGTATTCTGTCATTCACTTTCCTATTTTTAAAAATCCCTTTCCTCAAAAGTTTTCGAGATATTCTGGTTCAGTTAGCCTTATTGTCTTCTCCTAATTTTTATTTTCCCCAGCAATTTAATTGATGAGTTCACTGATGGAAACCTAATGCAATATGTTACATTCTTTACCATAATTTCGCTTGATACTATGATCAGGATAATTTGCATATACACTGATTTTCTCCTACTAATCTGAAGTGCTGCATTTGGGTTCAAAAACGAGCAGGTTAAAAGTCATTTTTTTTCTACACTTGTAAAGGACACTCCCATTTCTTAGGTTTGGAATGTCCTTTGACTTTACCATCATGCTAAATTTGACCTCAAGACCTTGATTGTATTCATGAATATCATTACCTAGTGACTGACGAAGAGAAAACTGAGGTTTGTGCATGATTCTTATCCAAGAAGGTTAGTGCCAACACAGGTTATTCTCTTTGTAAAAATATCATATTATATTCGAGAGTGCCAGTTAAGGATCCATTATGCTGGGTTAATATCCCTATTTATTGTGGCTGAACTAGATTCTTCTCTTCAACAGTGCAGTATCCTACCACAGAGTTTAACAGTTCAACTAAGCAATTGTTCTTGGAATTTTCTTCTGAATTTACTCAGTCATACCTGAAACATTGGCTTCTGGCTACTTCTGTGGACGGTAGTTGCTACTATGATCCCCTTTTGAAAATTTAAAGACTTTTCTTGTGTGGTATCTCATTACCCAATCTCCTTATTATTTTGAATTTATGGTCAATAAATGTTTTGCCTGGTGCCTAGAATATTTATCACAACTTACTTCCAGCCAACGTGGCTTTACTGAAGGGAAAAGTATCATAAAATTAGTCCTGTTATTATGACAGACCCCCTGTTATTCGTCTTCTCGACAAGCAATTCGTCATATTTTTCAAAATATGGGTATTCCTTTTACACTATCTAATTTAATTTGTACAAACAGCATACGATTACTGTAGTAATAAACTTTATATATATATATACTTCATTTCCTTTAATTTTCGAACAGCCATTACCCTTATTTTTGACTGAGCATATAACTGGAATCAAAAACAATATGTGTGACTTTTTCAAAGATTAAAAATGCTTTGTCTCTTTAGCATTTCCTTACTTTTCTGGCTTATTGAATGTTGACTCATTATCGCAATACTCTAATGGTTTCCTGGTATGTACGGACCTACTGGCCTAACGTACAACAACCTCACTAAACGAAAAATAAAAGGACCATATAATTCCATACTTCCAAAACCATGCCAGGAATGCATCGTATTTTCACGAGGTTGCATAGTTGTAGGATAAGAGGGTTGTCATAGTCATCTAGAAGTTGACAGGCCACTTATACTACCGCTACCTACAGTGAACAGGCAACAACGAAGTTCCATCTTTAGAAAATAACAGATTTTGTAAAGCCTGTGTGCCCCAAACCAACAAAACTAATTCTTCGTGCTAAGAGGAGTGAAACGCAACAATGAAGTTTCATCTTTTGAAAACAACAGATTTTATTTAGCCTGTGTGTCCCAAGCCAACAAAACTAATTCTTCGTGCTAAGAGGAGTGAAACGCAACAATGAAGTTTCATCTTTTGAAAATAACAGATTTGTATAGCCTGTGTGCCCCAAACCAACACAATTGATTCTGTGTTTTAAGAGGAGTTAATCGGCCACTATTATTATAGGATATGAGTAAGTGCTCCTCCAATACCACCAGAATAGGTATTGGAGTAGGTATGAAGTAGGTATATGAAGTAGGTACTTCATAGCTAGACGGAATCCACTTCCTTACTCCAGGCAATATCACAATTTCGAACGTTATTTTTAACAACTTTAATATGTGTTCTTCACTTTCATAAGCAGAATAAATTTTTGTTATCAACATGTTTAACTTATGAAGGAAAGTTATTACTAAAGCTGTCTTTCAGTAGGCAGAATTCTCAATTTCTTTGTTTTATATGTCTGAGAAATCTTACATATGAACTTGCAATGGGTGTCTTTGTTATTTTATTGTATGTTTAAATAATTTATATCTTACATTTATTATGCAACCGTGTACTAAGGATGCCATAACAGCATTTTAGTTCAGCTTAAAGTTTTGATATCGTTTTCCAGCTAATGAGACAGTTCTCTTCGTAATGTTAGGCTTTTATCTCACGTAAAATTGTTTGGTAAATTCCAAAACTCTTTTCCCTCAATCCTAGAACGAATACTGCATGTAAAACGCAATAACCGTTTCATAGTCAATGAAACTAATGCCCTCATTAAGATAGAATTAATTCAGTGACACCTCATAACTCTAAGAACGAAATAGATACTTGTTATTATACTTGCCATTCTGCTCTGCTAACTTAATTAAGAAGTTGGATGTTTATGTATAAACTTAATTGAACAGTCACATACTGTGTAGTTTAATGTTATAATGCTAGACAGTAATTGACAGCTGTCGTCTTTAGCATTTCTATAACTGTGCACGTATGTTTGCCCGTGTTTACAGTTTACTGTACACAGATTATTGGTTTCAAAGCTTCATTTAATATATAATAACAATACTGATTAAAAAAATATAATCGTGAATAATTCAAATATTTTTATTTTCAGTTCCACCGAATAAACCTATAATCACTGACGTAAGCGGAAAAGTTTTGGAAAGTTTGATAGGACCTTATAATGAAGGAGATAGTTTAACGCTAATTTGTGAAAGCGAAGGAGGTATGTACAACTTTCTTTAATAGTAGCCTTCAAACATTTTGTTAAACGTATTTCATGCAAAGGAAGAATGAGTACTACACGTCACAAAAATAAAGGGATCAGTTTTCCTGTAGCCTTCAAACTTCATATTAATGCACATGTCGTAGGCAAATAGTAATTTTAAGCACTTTTTGTTCAGCGCATTCTGTAAAAGTTCGATTTTCTTTGCCTAGAAGTAATATTTATTGTTCAAGAAATGATAAAATAAATGTGTTAAATTGGAAAAGAAGAAACGTAGAAGAAATCCTGTTGTCGAGAATAATAACGGTCCAATTTTCCCAATTCAATAAAAACAAATGCTGTAGAATAATTTGGGGTGGTGTTTAAAGTCAACTAATAATGATATTATTTTGACACTACAATTGAAAATACAATTTCTGTTTTTGGGTATAATGTTATTAACGATCCATAAATTATAATACACCTTTTAGCTGTCTACACCTACTTTAATAAAACACTACATCAAACCTAACACATAGTTAACAGTTCTATATTAATTGAAACAAAATACCAATGAATTGATACATTCGGTATAATAGGTGTTCTTTAAGAATTCCAGATAGATGTCTCTAAACCAGCAAACAAATGTGGATAGAATAGGTCTTTTTTCTATGATTATATTGTTTTGTTTGTTTGTTTTGAATTTCGCGCAAAGCAACACGCTAGCCGTCCCTAATTTAGCAGTGTAAGACTAGAGGGAAGACAGCTAGTCATCACCACCCACCGCCAACTCTTGGACTACTCTTTTACCAACGAATAGTGGGATTGACCGTCACATTATAACGCCCCCACGGCTGAAAGGGCGAGCATGTTTGGTGTGACGGGGATTCGAACTCGCGACCCTCAGATTGCGAGTCGAGTGCCCTAACCACCTGGCCATGCCGGGCCACTATGATTATATAACATGCCTGCTTAGTTTTGACGAACAATTAACATAAAATTAATTTTTTTTCTCGTATGGTAATGCAAGTTTAAACTTAAATATATCTAATTATTACCTGTGTCTATGTATCTTCTAGTATTGATTTTACATAAGACAGATTTTCAATAAAAAAATAATAATAGAACGCAGTAGTATATTATATTATTAAATAAGTTTGTTTGAAATTGAGCACAAAGCTACACAATGGGTCATCTGTGCTTTGCCCACCACAGGTATCGAAACCCAGTTTCTAACGTTGTAAGTCCGCAGACATACCGCTGGGCTCTGGGGGGTTATTAAATAAGATGCATATGTGTGTGTGTGTGTGTTTACTGCATTATCATATAACCAAAGGAAATTGTAACATATGAATATATAATTATCTGTTATATTTATATTATCTGATCATTTCTAATAAATTAAAAAAAAGATAATAAAATAGATTGTTTCTTTGTCACCAACTTCTGAAGCTTAGATTTCATTTAGTTTGGCCAAATACATTTAAATGTGTATTTATTATTGACCTAAAGCCCTCGTTATATGTTTTTTTAGGTGAGCCACCCGCTTCTGTTACCTGGTGGAGAGACTCTGAGTTATTGGATGATAGTTTTCAGAGTATTTCTCGATCAACGGTTCAGAATATATTAATCATTCCAACACTACGAAGAGATCACCTCATGAACACCTTTATGTGCCAGGCCATTAATAACGAACAGTCACCACCAGCTTCAACGACGGTGACAGTTGACATGAATTGTGAGTAGCGAATACTGACTTTATATTTTTTGCCCAAAGCTTACATTGGACTGTTTGCGCTGTGTCCAATATAGCGATTCAATCTAGGAAGTTTTGTAAATGATTCACCTTTCTTTATTATGCAAACTAATACTTACATATGTTTGTGTATTATTAATCACCAAATATCATTCGGATGTTATCTAGAGGCACTTCCTGCTAGCACGAAGTATAATCATTGCACCAATGAAGAAGGTATTCGAATACTAGGAATTAGGACACATTGGACACAGTATTATCAAAATGTTGGGTTTAAATCACAGAAGAAAGCCTAGCTAGACAACAAATGTCCGTAAGATAACCATACGTAACATACTATGTTGAAAAACTAAAGAAAAAAGATTATATATATATATGATAAGTTTTTACTGAGCATATTTAGAATATAATGAATATACTGATAGATAATTACAAAACTATTCCATATAATTTGCAAACTCTTATGATACTTTTATTAGCAGCATTGCATGTGTAATAAGATGCCTAATACTTCGCTAGAATATCAAAAATTAATTTAAGTTGTTAGCCACGAGTTGTTGGTTTGTTAAGTATAAATCTATATAGCGGGCTGTCTATTCTATGCCCACCACTGGTATCAAAGCTCGATTTTTAACGTTATGAACCGTTACTGAAGGGCTGATTAAAAGTTTATTCTATTTAAGATTAAAATTGTTCAGTTCTGTAAACTGTTTAGCTTTGACATTACACAATTTGAAAAACGTAATGTTCTCGTTAGAGTTTCAGGAGTGCACTGTAGATGACATGATAAATATATGTATCGTAGTATGAACTTATATAAATATATACACAAATTCTTTATTTGGATCTATATTAACCTTCCCTCATCATTACAGTTTCCAGTGACCTCATACAAATTTGGATCAGAAATTACGAAATGCAAATTTAACTTTTGATTTTCATATCTAGTTGAATTTTATCTATTTATTGATTTTTTTTTAAATACTTAAATATGAATACGTCGTGCCATTTAATGTATACCAATACTCTGATCGATACTGTTTTATTTCAAGCTAAGCTTTCATTGGTTTTAAAATCCGTCATCTTACACCTTTTGATGCCTTTCTTATTTGCATACGCAGTTAAGCCTCTTGGTGTGTGGATTGAGAATAGCAATCGACCACTTTCTACAGTGAAACCTAGCAAACTCATTTGTCACGTAACAGGCTCACGCCCTACTGCGCAACTATCATGGTGGATTGGAGGAAAGAAACTTCAAAGTGCCAAAAAGCGATCCCCATTTGAAAGAAGCCGCAGTAGGAACAAGACCACCAATGTCCTCATTTTCAAACCTAACATTGATGATAACGGCAAATACTTGTCATGCAAGGCAGAAAATCCATTAATCCCGGGAAGTGCAATAGAAAGTGGTTGGAAATTGGATGTGCATTGTAAGAACATTTCTTTTAACATATGTGGTCGTTGCTTTAGATATTAAGCAAAAACTAGAATTTGATACATTCAAATTTTTCTAAGACGTTACTAAAACCTTCGTAAAACCACGTGTATTTTGTAATCAAATACATTCATAGTTTTACAACATCTAAAATCTGCATGTTAAAGAATGCCGTATTGAATTTTGTAAGAAAAAAAATGAACATAATACACTATACTTATTTGAAGATTTCAATCTAAATTTATAGAGAAGTATTAAATTATTTATATTCTAGATATACCTCAACTACATCTTCGACTAGGAAGCAAATTACGCCACAGTCATATTCAAGAAGGTAACGACGTTTACTTAGACTGTTTTATTCAATCTAATCCACCAGCTTCTGAAATAGCGTGGAGGTTTGAAGGAAGTGAGCTTTGCGCAAATGCCTCGTTTGGGATTATAATCAGCAACCAATCTTTAGTACTTCAAAACGTTAAGAGGAGGAACAGGGGACGCTATTCTTGTTTAGCCACGAACAGTGAAGGAAAAGGGGAAAGCAATACGGTGTTTCTTAGAGTACAATGTAAGTTCGTCACTTTAATTCCTCTGTAAAGTTTTCGAATCTGTTACCCATAAAATCTATACAGGTTCAAAAAAATTTATTTGCAACCACGTCCTTTGTGATATTCTGCATAATTAATGTGATAAATTTTGATTGGGCAGTTTTTCTTTTTTTGTTTTATGCGGTGTTTATGGGCAATCAAACTTAATGCTTTTATAATAATAATGTTTCTGACACGCAATTTCCTAAATGAAATTTTTTAATAGAATATATCCTCGAAGGACCGGATATATATATATTTCCTGTCTAATGATTGCTGCATGTTTCAAAACACAAAACTCATCAAGACTAAAGAAAGTGCAATAGCAGATTATACGTTCTCTAGTATTAACTGGGCTCAATATTAACTTTAAAGATTTAGCTTTTTATTATCTAAGTCAACAGAAATTATGTTTTATGAGTTGATTTACGCTGCTAACATTTGAGTATCAAGGAGCACTAACGCGTTTAAGGAACATTTTACACATTTGTTCGTGTTCGATGTTAGATGTTACACTACTTTCAGGATCGTTCATAATGTTGTGATAACCTCTTCTAGAAAGTATGCAAAAAAATTTTAACTTATGATCGCATCTTATATACGGATACATTACTTTTATTTTTCAACTGAAAACATGATTAGCAAAAATTATTCATGTATTTTATATATTCTTGAAGGAAATGTCAATAACAAACACTGATAGCGAGAGGGCGAAATACGGGCATTTGGGTTATTTCACGTTTAAGTCATAAAATTTTTATATGTTTCTACATAACAGGGTTACTTTGCTTCATATAATTAGGTATAAAATCGTCCAGAACAGTGTGATTAATTTATTGTCTTCATAATTCCTTCAACAAAATTACATTTTCTGCGTTACACATATATACACATATTATGTGTTCATAAATACATATGGATGTCATGACAATATTAATAATCGAACATAAACACATCTATGTAATTAAATGTCCTCCTGTGGAATAGCGGTAAGTTGACGGACTTACAACGCTAAATTTCAGGGTTTGATTCCCCGCTGTGGACACAACAGCTCGCCGAATGTGGCTTTGTTCTAAAACAAACAAGCATATAATTAAAACGATAACTCTTGAAGGTAATGGATAGAACTGCTAATCCAACCATTTGCAAAAGAATAGTCGTCATCAGAATATATGCTTTCCCAAAATTCATAACATATATATATATTATGTCATAACAAACATATGCCCAATTCTGATTGAATGCGCTAAACAAATGACAATACGTGTTCTTAAAGATTTAGACTATAAAATGTTTTCTTTACCCCAAGAGCATAAACAGCAACCGTAAAGCTGTTTTTTGGCATTATTATTTACCTAAGATTTTTTAAAACTTAGCTTTAAGTATCCGTCCTTATACTGACTTCCCGAAATTCACAAGCAAATACAAACTTTTTGAAATACTGTACTGTAGGATTAACGAGATTCCTACTGTCCCTATCTATTATCTAGCGAAACTACAGCCAATGGAACGAGCTTGGAAAAATCAGCCTATACATCAGTAGAGTTTATCAGTGTAGACCATAATAACATTTTAAATCCATTGAATTGGGTATTCCTAACGAATATTTTAGTTTTAATACATACGCTGTTCAACGTCGCATGTCACTTATTATAATGGTTTACTTCAAAAACAAAATTATAAAAATACTGCTATTGCTTGTATTTAACCGCTTACTAACTTCAGTACAATTACCTTTATTAGTACACTAACTGAAATTAGACGTAGTAATATTTTATACATGTATTGTTTTGATGTTGTTGTTAAGAGGAGGAATAAAACGATAGGTTTTCAGATACATAACTTTTTAGTATATGATTCCACATATTAAGCTAAGGTATCAGAGAAAGACTAAATGTGGTTTTAAAGATTTGTTGGTTAAACAAAGGAATGCAATGTAATGTAAAGACTAAAACAACACTTTAGAACATTTGTGAATCGAATGGTTAACTTAATTTCATGTAATATTTTTTTTGACCACTAAAGCAGTTATCATTCAGTATTTATATTCTTGTTTCGTAGTTGCTTTAATTAAAATCCACTCCTTTTAAATTAGTTAAAATAAACAAAATCTTTGACTAGATTATAAGCTCATTTGAGTCGGTATTCAAGGAGAGAAAATCTCTTGCATATACATCTTAATTGAAAGCAGTGAAAGGTGTACTTTCATTTGTACTCATTTGATACAAAGATCGCTTCGAGATTATAATTAATTCTCACACAGTTTTAGCGCAAAAGAGCATGAGTTTGTTGTTGAAAGTTAATGAGTAAAAACTTTGTTTGGAAACAAACGGAACTAGAAGAAAATACTCTAATGTAGGTAATATTTATATCACCACTAGAAAAGTTTTTTCAAATATGTATTAAACATTATTACATAAAGATGTAAAATACATATATTATTTTATTCACTTTTCAGTCATTTTAAATAAGCATACTGACTATATATTATAAAAAAAAACATTACTACAGAAATATGCAAAATATATGCAAATTTGAATTGATTATCTAAAGATGCCAATTAATTTACATGTATTTTACAATTAACTTTTTCTTGAAATCAAGAATTGTATGTGGCCTAGTGATTAACGCGCTCGAACTTTGAATTCGAAGGTTTGTGGTTTGTGGCCCTTTACCACAAAAATGCTCTCCGCACTTTAAAGTCGTAAGCGCGCTATAAGAGTGACAGCTAAATCCTACTGTTAGATACGAAAAATTAGCCCATGAAATGATGATTTGTACCGTTCTACCTCTGTCTTTCTTATATTTTATAACTTCACATTTAGGGACGGCCAACTCCAGATAGCCTTTGTGTGATTTTGCGCGAAAATGCTGAAAAAGCCACATATCGGCATCCAACAAATCATAAATGACATTTTAGAAAGAGAGTATATTACTGAATAAAGATATTTTATGACGCAAATAATGTTTCATGTCCACCCTTTTGAATACAGCATTTCACAAAGTTTTATATTATCTATTATATTCTAAAGCAACTAAATTTATATTTGTAAATCTCATTATTTTTTTTTTCATTTAAATATTTACTGGCAATTTGTAATGTACAGGAACCTGTTATACATTTTTTACTCAGATAAACCTCGATGTAAAGGAAGGCAACGGTTTCTTTATGGAACGGCAAAGAACGAAGCTGTTAAAGTGCCGTGTGAAGTTGATGCAGACCCTGCTGATGTGGACTTTTTATGGAAATTTAATAATTCAGGGCATGTAGTCGACCTCCAGGATTATAATTACAAAGAAACTAGAAGTGTGGCAACATATAGTCCTAGAACGCAATATGATTACGGCTCATTGTTATGTTGGGCTAAGAATGCTGCTGGTTTGCAGGATATTCCCTGTGTATTTAGTATCATACCTGCAGGTAAGAGTTGAAGAAAAACAAATAGTAACATGTATGTAAACAAATAAAAACTTATGTTTCATATTCCCGAAGGTAAGGCGAGATCCTGAAATTTGTAACTGCATACTTTAACATTTTACTAAACAAAAAATATTTATGTAGAACACTAAAATAAATAAATCGCCTATCTACATTTCGTACGTATACTAAATTTAAATATATGAACATATTACATTATGGTCGTCACAACCTCACTATGTTACATTCTAATATACATTTTAATGGGTTATTATTATCTTAATATTTTTCTTCATTTCAAAATTTATTTTAAAATAAAGTTATGGAAAACTATTAAAACTATGTTATATAAGTGTAAGTGGGGAGAGTTTTAGTATTTAAACTAATAACGATCTTCAAATTTAGTGATTAGCCTTAGAATAATTTACGTTTTATAAAATCCTGGGATCCCTTTGAAAATGTAAAATATTTGGCCTTATTAACTTTTGTTACTTTTTTTGCCCGTAAACCTTTATATATATACTTCTTCAGAGTTTATTTCTTACAGCAACTGTAAGATCTTATAGGACGCATTTATATAGGTTGATTTAAGAGTTAGTGTAAAAATAATTGTATATTATTGTAATGTATTGATGATATTCCAGGAGTACCAGACCCTCCACAAAACTGTACAATTGTTAACAAATCAGAATCATCTTTCCGAGTGGAATGCTTAGAAAGCTTCAGTGGGGGACTTGAGCAGCGTTTTATGATAGAAGTTCATGATGATTTTATCCAAGCAGTCTTAGTTAACGTAACAGCCAAGCGACCTGTTTTTGTAATAGATGGACTGTCGTCGGGAAGGAGATTTCTTTTACAAATTTCTTCAGTAAATGACAAAGGAAGAAGTCAAAGTGTTGTGATGAACTTAAGCACACTTCACATTCCAGAAACTCTAACTCATAAAGGTTAGACATTAGGGATTTCTGTCTCTTAAATCTATAACAGTAAGCTTAGTTATTAAATCAGTTGTATTATCTAGAGCGATGCCTTAAGAAATAACTCAATAAGAGAAAACCAATGTAAAACAGTTATTATTCTCAAACCGTGTGAAACCCTTATCTGAAGTATATTTCAATAACATTATGTAAAATTAATCTCGGAAATTGAAATAATTAGTCTAGAATAAGATTTTATCTGTACTCACGGAATTCTCATTAGTTTAAATAGCTTTATGACATTTTGTTATTTGCAATAAAATGCAAGATATGTACGCAATCACAGCCACGAGCTTAACAGAAGATGTAGATTACATACGTGATTTCACAAGAAAACAGTACAAACATGTAAAACAGAAGCTTAACAGATGATGTAGATTACATACGTGATTTCACAAGAAAACAGTACAAACATGTAAAACAGAAGCTTAACAGATGATGTAGATTACATACGTGATTTCACAAGAAAACAGTACAAACATGTAAAACAGAAGCTTAACAGAAGATGTAGATTACATACGTGATTTCATAAGAAAACAGTAGAGACATGTAAAACGAGGGTTAGCTATCAAAAACTCCACTTTGTTCACAAGTGTCGCAAAAATGAGTACAAATTATCAGACACACATTTTTATAAACATGATCATAAACTTTAAAATGATGTTCTGTTTTACAATCCCTGAAATTAAAAACCTAAACTTACTAAATTGCACTTGAAAGTGATTACAAAACAGCATAAATTTTCATCAAAGCATTATGTAACTTTCAAACTCAATAATAATAATACCACTCACAACTATTTTACTTTATATATGTTAGCATCATCAAAGTTAATTAATAAATTAATAGTAATTATGAAGATATAACGACATGCTACTTAAATATAGTGAGAAAAAGATGTTTTTATGTACATATGTTTACTATAATTAATGATTATCTCGACTAAAACATAAATCTAAGACGAAATTTACTGGATAAAGATTCAAATAATTATCAAAGATTCCATGTATTGTCATACACAGAAATACGACACTGAGTAACGTGTTGTTTTAATTAGCAAAGTCAAAACTCGCATTGAGAATATTTTTTCTATTTAAAAAAGTTTTAGTAACAAAGAAAATATAGATGAAAGCAAACACGTAATGTTTTCTTTACGTTTTATCAAATCACTGAAAGGCACCTGTCCATTCATGACTGTCTTCTGAAGCAACTCTCTGCTTGGTTTGTGACTGTTGGAGCTGGATTGCCCCCACTTTAAACAGGCAGCGATTCATCTTTAGTCTTTAAGCACTAGTAAAGAATTTTGCTTGTAAGCTCTGTTAGAGTTATACACTGCTGCTTATGCTTGTAAGGTGTAATACGACCTCGATAAAGATGGCTGAAGTACATCCAGCGCCTTAACAGGAAGATGATGGTTTGTCCTCATCAACATGTTGGTTGTTGAGTCTGTGAAACATGAGTATCGGTTGAGCTAGATTGCTGATCGTGTCTGGGTCACTGCACATTTGCTCGCCAAACTGATGAACGGTTGCACCTTGCTTTTTATTACAGCTTTGTAGGAGCCGCTGCTGTAAACCACAAATGTTGTCAAGATGGGTTAAATTCATTGTGTATATTTTGAAAAGGGCTGGTGAGAATGGTGATTTTTGTGGTAGAATGGTGTTGATAGTGATCCAGTCCGATTGCCAACTTTCGTGCTTCCTGACGCATTCTTAGGTTATTAGTGCTGTGAGATAATAAAGTGTATCTTTTTATGATTATCGTTGTGTTTATCATTCCCTTATTATTTCTTTCTTTCGTTTAGTTTATCTACGAATTTTTAGTTGCATTGAAATGCTAATTGACCTTTTAGCTAATCGTGTGTATTTTGAGTAGATATGTTGTATGATTGACGCCAGTTTCACTCGCGATGACGTACAGACATTATTAATGTAGCAGAAGATTATGTAAATTTATGATCACATGAAGTCGTACTCTCATGACTTACTTAATGAATAAATACACTGACAGAAGATTCATTAAGAGAGCGAGTTAATGAATGACTGCTGTTTATCATCCGATATTGTTAATAATATTGATATTTATGATATTTTGTTCATCAACATTTGTGTCAAGTCCTGTCATTCAAAAGTATCGATCAAGGTTCATTAGTTGTAACTGTTGAATAAATTGTTTTTATTGTTGAACCGTTATTGTAGCGACGTATTCAATTTAGACTGTCACAGTGCAACTGTAACCCGTCTCACACATGTCACACCAATACCTATTCTGATCATTTTGTTAGCAAAAATTGGCAGCTTAATAAAAAAACCTATGACTGCAACCAACTATGAAATTAACAGTATGGATCCAGGTTTCTCTTCCACTACAATAACCACGTAATGATAAGTGAAATCAACTAGTGATTATAAAGCAGAATCATTTAGTGATTACCAAGTTTGCCCTTTATGAAGAAAGGTCCACCTTTCGAAAGCGCTCGGTTTATAGGATTTCGTATTTTTGACTTCAAAGTTAAGGATGGCTAGAGCAGTTAGCCCTCCAGTAGCTTTGTACAAAATTCATTAACAAAATAAAACTAATTATAATTAGATTTAAACACTACTTCAATATCTATATTCTATGCAATCGGACTGTTGAAATGTGCGCTGCGATATCGTCATTCTCTTACAGTAAATGAATAATGGAAATAATGCACGAAGTATCGATCAAGGCTCCGGTACAATAGCCAAAAGCTAGCAGTTAAAAGAAAAGTATTTAAACGTAAAGAACAGGCCGTGTATTTTTTACAAACCTACAGTGGTGGTGCCTTAATTCAACGTATAGCACATTATGCCTATGATTTACGAGTATCTTCTTCTGTTAAGGTTTAATTATTTGTTTTGTGTGTTTAGCGCAAAGCTACACATTAGGCTATCTGCATTCTGTCAACCGCGTGGAATTAAGCCCCGGATTTAGCATGTTGTAAGTTCGAGAACTTACCGCTGATCCGCCGTGGACTTTTTTTTTGTAATGATTCACTACCCTTGTTCAACCATTATTATAAAGTTGGCCCGGGCTAATTCCGATTTGGATTAGACATAATAAACATTAAACCTCATTGAATATTTTAGGAGAATTGCAATGTTTCAAAAGGACTTGTATACTGCTGTAAAGGAATTACAGTATTTTACTTATTTATCATTCTTTTCTTTTCTAATGCAAACAAGAGGAGATTTATTTTTGATATAAAGGCGGGAAGTGTAAAGATTGCATAACACAGTTTAATCCAACATTGGGCTAATAACTAACATCATGATACTAACTCTATTTAACTCTAACAACACTACTTTAACTCGTCTACAATATTGTAATGACATATATTTATATACGTACAGAGACTGTTGATTACGATATATCAAAGAAATTTTGAGTGTGCAAATCAGAAAGTCACGTGAAAATCATACAACTGACGTGAAGCTTCAGTGGAATGACATGCATCGGAATTACACTTTCTCATTGTGTAGTTAGAGCGATCCCGCCGAAAATTCGTTAGTTTTGAAAACGTTTTTTTTTTTTTTCTTGTACGCAAAATATTCTTATACATATATCATAAGATATATATTTAGATTGCGTAAGAATAACTTCAAATATGTGAGTATCAATTGTACTTAATGACTTAGAAATAACAAATGAATATGGATCAAGTTGGGACACAGAACCGTGCCAAAAGAGACCTACAAAAAATCTTACCCCAGCAGTGAATGCAAAATGTGGCATCTTAAACACAAACTTCAGTGGCAAAAGCTGTTTATGTGCCCTAATCAACAGTACTCACTGTAAACAAAAAGTATCTCCATTTGAAAAGCGACACAAATTACGTGTACCCAAGTTCCTTCATGATATATCTGTTTAATTATCACATACCTCAAGGACTTGGTTAATAAAATAGGTGTTAATGCTATTAGACACGAAGACATTTCAGTCAAGTTGGCGGACGCTGAACCTATAGATTTCTATGCAATAGGACTGTTGAAATGTGCACTTCAATATCGTCATTCTCTTACAGTAGATGGATTATGGAAATAATGCACGAATGTGTTTTGGATAAATCAGCCTTATGAAAAAGCCTTTGTAATTACATTATGCTGGAAGGCTATTTTCAAGATGGACATTCGTTAGATGGAGTATGGCGGACGTGGCTGTATGGATTCTAACGACGTGGTGAAATTCCAATATCGTTTTAATATAACGTACTGAACCCCTGTATATATTTATATATATATGCGTGTGTGTGTGTCTAAAACTATCCTTTATATAACAAATACAAAACCTACATGTATCTATTATGTTCAGCTACAAACGAATACTATTTATTTACTTTCCAGCGTCTTGATCTGATGATTTAACCTATCCAACACCTTCTTCTCCTGTCTCACTCAGTGTTATTGTCTAAAGATAATAAAATCAAAACAAAAGTATATGACAAACCCCACTCCTCCAAATAATCTAGAAATTTAACATTTGAGCCAAATAAAATAAGTTACTTACGAACCCATGCTTAATGTTAAAGCCTATTAATCCCATACATTTTTTTCTGAACAAATGTAAGGTCTAAGTCTTAGTTGTAAAGTTACATTATACCTAATACTGAACACACACCCAAAATTCTAATACACACTAACATGACATAAAAAGTACTGAATTTATGTTCAATCACATCAACATAGATCTGAAAACTCTTGTGAGATATAGGGTCAGAGAAGCTAATTCTGGATATAAATATTGCTATAATCAGCACCAGTCAGACCACTGACATTATCAAGAACTTTTTAAGTAAATCGATACACCTACTCAAATTAGGACGCATTTAGTTTTGCACACTTTCTACCATGTCTCGTCATTTCCACTTTCAACATTATGGGATCAAGTCCTCTGTGATCCCGGACTAACATATCCATAGCAACAACATTCCGTACTGCAAAGAGAATCACTTCTCCCCCCCCCCAAATTATTATGCTGATTTTTTATATGCTTAGTAAGTAATGGTATAATGTAGGTAGGTACAAGTTATCGTTAGCGTGGCACGTGTAACATTATTTTTTTACTTGTATTTACCAGAGCTAAATTTTATAGATTAACTACCTTCAACTGTTGAGCCAAACTTCAATACCTATTGATAAAGCATGGTTCTCGGTTAAGCTTCTACCTCGAAAAGGCCTCCCTAGTGGCACAGCGGTATGTCTGCGGAATTACAACGCTATAAACCTGGTTTCGATATTCATGTTGTCAAGAGCACAGATAGCCCATTGTGTAACTTTGTGATTAATTACGAACAAATAACCTATAAATGATTCACAATAAAATACTTAGGTCAAAATAATATTTCGAATACGTTGAGAAATGACTCGAAATGAAATGAAACTGCATCGCACTTGCATATATAGTTTTAACAGAAACAAATGTATTGTGCGTTATCAACACTGGGTGTGTATCGGCCTTATTTTAACAATGCATAATAGTTATATCTACATATTTTACATTTCAAACTGTTCAGTCTTAGTTTTCAATAGAGACAGTAAGAAAGAACGATGGCCTTTGTTCAAAAGCCATCACCAAACATGGTCGCCCTCTTAGACATGATGGCGTTACAAGGAGACGACCAATCTCTCTGTTCGTTGGCAAAAAAGTAGTCTAAGAGTTGACAGTGGATGGTGTTGACCAGTTGCGTTCCCTCTAATCTATCACTTCAGATTTAGGGACGACTAGCGCACATAGCCCTCTAGTAGCTTTGAGCGAAAATTCAAAAAACAAATAACAACATACAAAAATACACTTGTAAACAACGAAAGCCCTCGCGTTTACTTTTGTCTTCATTAAGAACGTTTTCAATGAGGTTGAATATTCTTTTACTTTCTATAATTACCTTTCTTAAATGCATATATTTACTTCTTTTATTATACTATACTTCTTGCATTTAGTCCGAACTTTCTCTCACACTTTGAATTAAATCTAAATGGAAAAAAAGAAGTCAAAATGTCTTCCATATCACGTAAGATTCTTGTAGTTCTAGCTTCTAGAGACAAAAATTGTCGCATTATTTTTATTACGTTGATAAACATACAAAATACGTTTATCGTTTTATTTGATTATTAACCAGAGGATATCATTACACCCTTAATACTTTAATCAACCTATTTCATATATAAGTAAACTTACCTAAAATAAAATATCACAAAACGTGTTTTTCTGTGGACGTCGGCCAGGTGGTTAGGAACTTTGACTTGCAATCTTAGGTTCGCTAGTTCGAATCCCCATACCACCAAACATGCTCGCCCTTTCAGCCATGGAGGCGTTATAATTTACGGTCAATCCCACTATTCGTTGGAAAAAGAGTAGTCCAAGAGTTTTCGGTGGGTGATGATGACTAGCTGCCTTCCTTCTCGTCTTTCACTGCTAAATTAGGGACGGCTAGCTCAGATAGCCCTCGCGTATCTTTGCACGAAATTCAATACAAACCAAACTGTAAACATTGTCTCCCTCGAAATGATTTTGATGCATATAACTTGGCATTTACATTGGTGTGCTTTTTTATTCACCTTCTTTTACATTCATGTTCATCATTATATTTTGATTTCTTTAGTTAAAATATCTAATTTTTTAATTATCTATTTCGTTCTTAAAAGTCTACCCAAATATTTATTAGCTGAGGTTAATAGAATAATGGCAAACTTTTACCTCGTAGCTCCGTCATCTCTTGACCGATTTAAGATCTCATTACTGATTACTCAGGAGGTCTAACCGTTTCAATTGGTGTAGTTGACCACAACTAAGGTCTCATAGATTAATTTACTCTAATTTCAGGGTAGGCTGGTAGAGATCCTGATGAGTAATACAATCGAATCGGCATTGCTGGCACACAAAAGTATAGCTAATAAACAGGAAAAAATGTTTCATAGACTAATTTACTCAAATCCTGCCTAAAAGAATTTCAAGTGCGCGGCTATTGACGATTCTCTCTTGTTTGTTACTTCAAATACTTGTGTCTCCTGGTTTTCGTTGGAGAACTTAAATATTTATAGACAATTATTTGCTCATTTCTGTGTTTTAATTGTTTTCATTTTGTTGTTACATGTTTTGTAATGAACCATATTATTGAACAACATAACATATTTGAGTATGCAGTCAACGACTTTTTTTAGACTAAATGACTTATATCTAAATTAAAGCCATAGTTAGTTGAAGATTCAGAACTAACTGAAACCTTTAGAATCGCTACGTAAATCGCAATTCAAAAATATTACTTAAGAATAAAATTAATTCAGTTACATGCATCTGTGATTGAAGTTTCATGTAAACTGTCCTTTAAAGTATGTCGACAAGTTAAACACTTAGTTAAAAGATAAGCTTAAAGATGAGTCTTAGGAAACGCAGAAAATGAAATTTCCTGAGGCTATAAACAACGAAGCATATAAGATTACGAAATCTGTCATGCAAGTTGTCGTATTTAATTTAATCATCCTCCTAACACAAAATCCTCTTCGAAAAACATTTATTGATTCCAAAATGCCAAGAAAGTATTTTATTTTTATTTTACAATGAACATTGTGTTATTAAGAGGGTCATAAAATAGGAAAAACAAGAGGTAATCCTCAATAGCCGCGGCGCTTAAAATGTTTTTAGGCAGGATTAGAAGAAATTAATCTATGATTTATTTTTTTCCTGTTTATTAGCTATATTTTTGTGCGCCAGCAATGCCAAGCGTGGAGCTCGCGTATACAACGACTCGATTGTATTACTCATCAGGATTTCTACCCTCAAATTGAAATTATTGTAGGCAGGATTAGAGTTAATTAATCTATAAGACCTTGGGCATGATCAAACGCATCAATCGAATGTGTTTGATCTCCTGACCCCAAAACTGTAATTATTTCTCAAATCGGTCAAGAGATGATGGCACTGTGAGCTAAAAGTTTGTACTTGGAAAAAGAAAAAAACTCAGATCCGTACTATGAGTCGCAGCTTATAAGGATGTTATTTAATTAGACTGAACGTATTTGTCAAAGAAAGTTTAGTTAATTTCATAGAATATAAATAATTAATACATCGATAAACAGACACATGTTTAACTTATACATATTGCAAAATAGCTTTATATTGATGTATATCAGTCGAGAAGATTATTTTATTATAGTGCTTAATTTGAGACAAAACAAAATGTATAGAAGTAAGAAATATGTTACTAAAGCCATAGTATCATAAAACTATAATACTCAGTTTTCACTTGCAGATACTCAATGGAATGACAACATAAGCCCGGTGCTAATAATATTAATTGGAGTGGTCGGAGGATCTGTTCTGGTGGCTGCTTTTATTTTCATTACCATGAAGTATTGTAAAACAAAAGGTGAGCGACCGTTTTATAAGATATATTTTATGTTCTTATGACAAAACGTCTAATTATTTATATTCGATTTTGTGTTGATAGTATTACACCGATTATTATTCTTACAGATATCTATTTTGATTTCAGTTTATACGATTATCTTTCATAATTTTTAACCTTTTAGACTCAATTTTCCTCGTTTCTTAGCTTGATGATGATTGGGATGTCTGGAATGTATTTTATGTAAATTAGGTTAACTGGATAGATACATAAATAATTTGTTGTATCTTGAATGTTCACATTTTCATAAGGTATCAAATAGATAGCCATGTGTAAAGTATTTTAAAGACACATAGATAAGAAATGACCAAAGTTGATCTAAACCAAACATTCTTATTCTAATAGTCTAGTTAAATGGAATAGAAAATATGCATCATTTAAAAACAACGTTTCGCCACTGTTAACGTTGCATCATCAGGTATTCAGCATAATCGTACACGACAGTTAAGTACACCCAACTGGCGTTGTCAACCATATAACCTTGAGCTAGCATAAGTACAGACCTACTTCTTGTGCATTGTTTCTATCCCATTTTAGCCGTTTTTGAATTATCGATTTTATAGTGTGGGATACCTCCAACATTTATAAAATAAATAACTGTTATTCATTTTATATTCTAAAAAGCTTTATAAAACCAAACAAAAACTTTCTACATTTAGTAAACACACTACCAAATTCTAATCCCGAGACCACTGCTGTATATATGATCACAATCTATTGGTTGATATTCACGGTATAAATATATTTCAATGAAATTTTAAAGTTATCAGTAATACATCATCACAGGAAATTTAATTTAGATTTAGGGTGAGAAAAAAAAATAAATTATATACAAACTGGTAATTCTAACGTCCTATATATATCTAAGTAATTTTCATCACATAAACATTTCATACACTCGAATATACTGTTTGGCATAGTAAATGACTAAAGCTTATAAGAATCATTTGAATTATTTTTATTTATGTTTTGTAATTTAAGGAGCATAACCCATGGCTGAAATTAATATATATAACTAAAACTTACATGAACAGAATGTGCGTGTATATATATATATAAAACATGAATGTTATATACACACTAGTGTGAACTATTTATTGTAAAAATACTGATTTGATTATGAACTTATATTTTCTTTAAGTCAAAGTCATATACACTTATTAAAGATGAATAGAAAATTATACATATTTTACGAGTTCAGTCTAGTATATGTTTTATTAGTTTCTCTGTACTTTAATTAATTATTTTTGAATTATATTTTTTACGTTATGTAAAAAATGAATATCATATCCAAAACTGAAAATACCTAATTGTCTTACCAACAGCAGATTACCAACAATTTGGGTTTTGGTTTTAGTAAATAATATATATATATTGGCAAAAATGTTATTTATAGTGTATAACATTTCCTCAAGCATTGCCATTATTTAATAGTAAAAGCAAATAGTGGAGGAAAACTGTAATGCTACCTTCGACATGTGTTAATGTATATCAGTTTATTTTATATTTAAGAAATAATTTAACTGTTTAAGTTTTATAGGAAAAAGGAAGTATATTAGTTACGTTATACAATTTGCTGTTTGAAAAACGGATTATTACAAGTGTAAAAAAATGTTTTATTTAATTATTGTAATAGTTCTTAGCCTAATATGCTCTTTTTTTTCAAAATTAGAACGGCTTTGCTTTTGTTAATAGAACAAACACTCCAAAGATAAATTGAATTTATACAGTCATGGCTAAAATGTTTGCACATTTTGTAACAAATAATATCATTATTATTAAGATGGAATACATATATACTTAGTGCTGTCAAACTGAGAAATGCATGTTGTATTAAACATCTGCACATGTAATTTGTATAATTGAGACAGGTTCTATGGACATCATGGACGATTTTTTAGAACAACAAACAATTTTATCAGATATCTGAAAATAGATGTGTAATTTAGGATTTCATCTATCACAACAAAAACCTTACCAAAACGTATATAATGACAAAATATAACATAAAATTATTATAAATAGCGTCTGTAACCTAATATCAGTTAATATTAAATATTCAGTACTTGGTTGGGCCTCCTCGTACTCTAATAACCTCCACAAGGCGACATGGCATGCTGCCAATGAGGTTATTAATGTAAGTCACCGTGATTTCATCCCAACTTGTCACTAGAAGGCGCTGAAACTCGGCTATAGTAGCTGTCTTAAGCCTGTGGTTAACAATTTTTCGGCTCAATTCTGCCCAACAGCTCTGAATAGGTTTACAATCTGGAGATTTGCTAGCCATGGCAATCTTGTAACGTCCTGCTGGTCGAGATAATCCTGTACAATACACACCCTGTGGACAGTGACATTGTCATTCTGAAACATAAAGTTATTGCCAAACCTTGCCCTAGCATATGACATAAATATCGTCTCCATGTGATGCCATAGGAGGTGCCATTGATGTTTCCCTGGAAGATATGAAGAGCAGTTTTTCCACCATGATGAATACCTGCCTAAACATGTACTGCACTACCTCCTGTGTGTTCCCTGTGGTCTTTCCTCATCTGTTATCCAGAAAACAACAACACAAATCCCACTATCAGCTTTAACGAGCCGAAAATAGGACTCATCTGAAAGATGTCTCCAGTGTCTTAACCTTAAGTTAGCATGCTGTATTGCCCAAGTAACATGGTGACGACGGTGAATTCTGGTTAATATCGATTTGTGGATAGCCCTTTATGTCGATAATAACCTTGTTTGGTCAGCCTATTATCTGTTCTTCTGTATACCCTGGAATGAATGTTTTCATGCCATTCCTGTGGCAAGATTTCTTTCGACCTCGACGTGTTATTTTGATCAAAACACGGTAGTTTTTCGGTCTCTACCAGTAGACTTTCCTGGAACAATATTTCCTGTAGTCCGATGATATTTCAGGATTATAAATACAGTATACTTGGGGTACCCTACTGTTCTGGCAATGTTCGTTTGCTTCATACCATTTCTGGACAGTCGAACAATTTGACGCCCTACAACTTCTGGCACGTGAAAAGGCATGACTCTACACCAAGTACATATAAACTGTCTGAACAGAACGTTGATCTGTTTCGAAAAAACGTATTCCAAAATCACACCCTTTTATACAAAACAGGCGTGTCTGTGTTGTGACGAACAAATGCTCAAAACAACTTCTTCAGACCAGAATAACACTTGGTACGTATTTGTCCGATCATACGCAACGTTCTCTGTTACTGCTTTGACATCTACTAAATAACTACTCCATCCATGTATACAATAACATCAATATAGAACAGTATGCAAACATTTTTGCTAAAACTGTATATTCTAAGCTGTTCGAAAAAAAGTTTTACTGTACTAATCATTGCAGGATTTCATTTTTTGATTAATGTGAATTATTTTTTACAGGACAGCAGTCAAAGGGAGATATCACCAAGTGAGTACACAAATCTAAACAGAATTAAATTTTCAAAAATTGATAGTTAATAATTCTTGATTTATTGAAAAATCTGTGTAACTGAAATGGTTGTATAATCACCCTTTTTCATGATGAAAGTTATTTGAATGGATAGCAACTGCCTGTTGTAGAAACACAAGTGTAGAGGACGACGTTTCGTTTTCAGGAAAGGCGGAAAACTTTCGAAACGTCGTCCTCTACACTTGTGTTTCTACAACAGGCAGTTGCCATCCATTCAGCTAAGTTTTATCATGAAAACTCTGCCTAAATAATCTATCAAAGAACACCATTTTTTTAATTATGAGGTTCAAACTTATCTTCAGCATAAAACATGCACATTTATTATTTAAATATCAAATTCTGAGTTATTTGTTTTGGCTAAATTCTTAACAAATATAAGCATAAATAATTTATTCTGCTCTATTCAAATTATTATAGGCTTGATAAGTATGAGAAAGCTCAGCATGGGTTTGAATCATTTTCATCACAAAACTGTCCGGACATAATTCCAGGTAAGAATATTGGAAGAATTAACTTGTGTTACTAGTATGAATTAAGCCCGTTTTTCACATCATAATTATAATTAACTATATCTTACATATGACTTTTATTTTGATAATTTATGCTTTATTTAGTACCACATTAGCATTAATACGTGTGATTGTGTATTGTTTATCTGTTTAAATTAGTTCTCCTGATGCACATTTAATCAAAATTTATTACAAATTTATTTGTACAAAATTTTGCTTTACGTATTTAGGCCTTTCTGTTACTCAGTTTAAGTGATTTTAATTAGACAATTGTATCTTCTTTTTACTACAGAATTGTTCACTGTTTGCTTTGGAAAAATTTCATTGAATAACCTCTACACGTGATATACCTTAACCAATTTAGTTAGTTGTTAAATGTTAGTTGTTGTGGTTCGAACCAAATATTAGTATTGTATGACATTTATTCTCGAAATGTCAAAAATAAAATATTTACACTGATTTAACGCATATTATAAAAATGTTTTTATAGAAGTGTAATATAATTATGATCATAATTCCAAATGTCAATGATCACTTTTAAAGTAAACATTTATATGCTTTCAATCTGATAGCAAGAATATATCCACAAAAAGTGAAAATATTTTAAAATAATCAAGCTTAAGAAGTACAATCAGTTGTAGGACTTAAACATCTAAAACGATGCGTATGTTATTTGCATATATACATAGTGCTTTAAGATAAATGCAATTCTTGATAAATGTTTTTCTTTTCGTAAGTTACTGATTCTTGCATACAAACTGCAATGTACTAACAAGCTACTTTCTACTGTAAGTGGTAAATATGTATGTATTCTACTGTATTTCCTTATAGTTATATATATATACCAGTTAGGGGTGAGATACTGTTCCCCTTCTTTCTTTCCTTTGATTGCTTTATTAGCTGCTAAATGCATACGCTGTTTTGTGGAAAGTAATAATGGACTCATTTAACTGTTTAAATACTTGTGCCTTTAAATTCAAAGCCATTAGTCTACAAGGAAAAGTAAATGTGCCCTGTTTCATTATGTTTTTTTTTTCCTTTTCCGGAAAAAAATCTTAAATCAAAATAACAAAACAATTTCCAGTTACCGTACCAAATATTACAGTAATCGAGCTAGCACACGTACACATACAAACACACTTATAATTGATAATCTTTATAGTAATCTTTATGTAACAACCAATACAGCCGGATGAAAAATATGATAATCTGCTTTAGCTTCAATTGACACCAGTACTTTTATTATATTTAGGACATAACCAACTACCAAATTCTAATGTCTATGAAAACGTTAACAAAGGTTATGAACCACAGTGCAGAGATTCCTGGCCAGATAAAGAATGCGAGACTACCAAAAACTTCGGTTCTTGTGGTTTTGAAATGGTAATTGTTTTTGGTTTGTTTTCCTGTTACTAAACATTCTATGAAAGCTTTATTATTTATTTTATTTCTTAAAATTAAAGAATATAGTTAAAAGTAAATAATATGAAAGGCAATTCACTCTAACATTCTACCTATAATATAATCATTGAAAATAGAGTATCTTTAGTAATTGATATGTGATATGGTAAGTTGTTATTAACAGTGTAGACAAGACTTCATTTGAGTTGACAAAACTCAATACGTTTATTCAGAAACTAACTTTAACTCATAAAAACTTCTCTAGCTCACAATAAAATTCATGATGTTGAAATAAAGCTATTTCTTAAGAAAGTACCAGAATCATTCATTAACACATTAAGTAAGTATTTAACACGAATCAGAAAGAAAATAAATAAATATTGCAATGCTTACAATCGTTGATGAAAATCTGTTTCATTCAATAGCAGGTTATGCCTTGCCCGTCAAGCCCAATTCACAAAGAAGACCTTCAACTGTTAAGAAAAGAAAACGCTTGGCCTTCAAGTGGAAAACAACAAATAGTGGAAATTCTAAATAAACTGTATGTGTCAGGCCTCTCTACAACAAAGAACAAACAGAAGTTTCACTTTTGACAAGACAAACTGATATCTAAATGTTATTCCTGAAATATGAAGTTTTAGAAATAAGCGAATTTCTTATTATAAATTTTTCTTGGTGTGATCAGTTGCAAAACAAATAAAAATAATGGTTTCGATATTCAAAAAATGGTGTGGAATTCACTACATATGAACCCTGTTGCCAAAGACTGAAAAGTATAATTATAGTCCATGATATGTATATTTATCCTCTCGCTGATACTTTACTATCAAATCTGAGCTTTCAGCGATAACTCGGTGATCTCTGAGTGCACATCATTTACTTTTCAAAAGTCCAGAGTCAGAGAGTTATCCAGTGTTTTTATTATATATGTCTATCTTTTACTTTGAAAAATTAAAGATCATGATGGTAACTTTAAACCATATATATGAATCTGACTTTTTGTTAATGTAGTGTTGATTATTTCGATTTTTTTATCTTCATAACTTCATTATTAAATTAAGAATACATGAGTTTTACCTCCTATTTCTTTTTTTTGTTTGCCTTCTCAGACGTTTAATTATCTTGAATGTATTACAAAATGGACATTGGTTTAAGATACTGAGCTGTGTAGATGACATAATACAAATATATATAAATATATATAGCTGTACCTTTATGTATTGTGTCCACGTATCCACGTAAATGAAATGCAGTGCTGCTTTTGTGAAAGCTATTATGGTATGTCTTATGAAGCTATTAACTCGCGTCACATTATTTTCCTGGAAATAATTATAACCAGATGCCATGTAACTTGGAAATATTGTGATTATTTGCATAAATAAAATATTTTCTACAATGACTGTCTGTTTCCAAATAACTCTTGCAATGTTAAATTCACAAAATTGTAACATATGAAGTCGTTCAGATGTGAAATTTAAACACACATCTAAAAATGATTTGAAGTAAATAATTAACAATATAATTAGACATAGATTTAGTAAAAAAAGGCTGAAAATCCATTAGTAGAGTTACAATCATAAGTCGTGTTATGCGCACCGCAAACCTATTTGTAAACTAGTTTATGAAAGATGAGCATGGAAAATACACTATTGTGAACTTTATATGCTAGCTGCAAAGATGTTTTACTGTATTATAAAATATTATACGGCAAGGTTTGTTTGTAATTAAGCACAAAGCTACACAATGGGCTATCTGTGCTCTGCCCACCACGGGTATCGAAACCCGGTTTCTAGCGTTGTAAGTCCGCAGACATACTGCTGTGCCACTGGGGGGGGGGGGCTACAGTAAGGTATAGAGGATTAGTCACGTTTTGTTATAAGATAAGGTTCAAAAGACAACCAAATAGTTGCCAGCGATTATATTTTATTCAGCTCCATTGTGATTTTATAAGTAAATTTCAAGTTTTATTATCATTTTTTACATAACATTATTCTAAAACATTGAAACATTGGCGCAGAACTGACTATATTAGTATGAATGTGAGAAAGCACTGCGTTTGATGGGACACAATTTTTAAATATTAAAGTGAATATCACATTAAATTATACTGTTAAATCATGGAACAAAAAATTCTATATTGCAAAACAATACAGGAAAATTTTGTTCATATACAAAACTTAAGTACCTCTTCAAAACTATAAAACAAAGTAATATGACAATAGAATAATGTATCACGGATTTGTTGATGTCATACAACAATGTATTTTGACACATTTGTTTCGAAAGTAACAGGATTATTATGTTTACTGTAAATAGAGCATTCGTTTAAATTTAGTAACAATTTAATTATTTTTAGGTAGTTATTATGCTCTATACAGAATGTAATAAGGACAGTCCTCTCTTTACTTGTGACTGCTAAACTATTCAGTCCTGTCAAAATAAAACTATTTATAATAATGTACGTAACATTTGATGAAAATAAAATATTTTACGAATTATTAGTAAAATTCTTTGTCAACATAGATTTGCGTCAAAAAGCCCTTACTAAATGTATATATATATATATATGTAACACAAGTGAATATTGATTGTTTATTCGTTTGTTTTTAGCATAAAGCTAGACAATTGGATATCTGTGCTCTGCCCATCACGGGGATTCGAGTCCCGGATCTTAGGGTTGTAAGTCCATGAAATTACCACTCACTCATTGAAGAATGGGGAACACAAGTGAAATGAAAATAATGGCACATATAATTTCATAAAAACAGCTGTATTTTACGATATGAGTTTATTTTTTTGTCTATTTACTAAGTTATGTGTCAAGTACTTGATTAAACCATATAAACGCAAAGATGTAATTATATCATTTTTAATCTGCAAAATATTTAATAAGAGCAAGAATCACTACAATATTCACTGCAACATGATAATCGATGCTAACTAGCTAATGTGTCGTTATCAGAGACTAACATATTTGATGGGAATTTCAAAGACATCTGTTACAAGAATGTTTCAGAAACAATAATCAAAAGAAATACGTCAGCCATCAGAAAAACTGTGGTTATTCACACATTATGACACAATGAAGGTAAACGTCATTGTTAAGGTTTCTAAATGTAACCGACGGTAAGCTGTTTTCCACTTGAGCGATTCCTTCACTAGTGGTCAGGATTTGAATATCTCCAAAGTACCACGCTAAAGAGATTGGAAACCAATAACTATTCCTAAACCTATTCCATGACTTTGGTGGTGCTTCGAGTATGAACTATGGCAATAAAAGACCGGAATCTAGGAATATACTGTGATGAATCACATTTCCTCTTTTCTCTATCAATTATACAGAATACGGAAAAAAAAAACACTCGCGACATTTAATGTTACTTCTGTTGTTTCGAATACATTTTACTGGGATTGATGTATTTATGAGGGTGTAATATTCTCATTTCACTGACTTCTCTTTGAATCAGAGAAATTCAGAATAACGGGAGTTTCAACAGAGTGTGTACTGCAAAGAAATAATCTGAAACTTTCCGACGGAGTTTAAAGAAAAGTAAGAGACTGGGTACAATGTACAGCAGAGTAAATGAAGAAAAGTAAGAGACTGGGTACAATGTACAGCAGAGTAAATGAAGAAAAGTAAGAGACTGGGTACAATGTACAGCAGAGTAAATGAAGAAAAGTAAGAGACTGGGTACAATGTACAGCAGAGTAAATGAAGAAAAGTAAGAGACTGGGTATAATGTACAGCAGAGTAAATGAAGAAAAGTAAGAGACTGGGAATAATGTACAGCAGAGTAAATGAAGAAAAGTAAGAGACTGGGAATAATGTACTACAGAGTAAATGAAGAAAAGGAAGATACTGGGTATAATGTACTACAGAGTAAATCAAGAAAAGGAAGATACTGGGTATAATGTACTACAGAGTAAATCAAGAAAAGGAAGATACTGGGTATAATGTACTACAGAGTAAATCAATAAAAGGAAGATACTGGGTATAATGTACTACAGAGTAAATGAAGAAAAGAAAGAGGCTGGACACGATTTACAACAGAGTAAATGCAATCTCTATTCAAGGAACAAATAAAGGTAGACAATTATTTGTTTTGGACACCTTCATTGGATATATCTCTAGTTTATCTCAATTCTATTTATATGCCTGTTAAAACATATCTCTAAACCATCGTCATCACCATCAAAGTGTTCTATACTGATGACATTCTATAACGATGACATTCTTTCTAGGATGTGGGTATTAACTATGTGACTGACGGTTGTATTCTTAGGGAAAAAATCACTGTATATTTCTATACAGCATGTTCGATGTTACATAAACATTTTCTATGAGGATGTGCATATGACACACTTGTTGAATGATGTAGTTCTGTGAGTAACTGAGGCTTAGTGACCTTCACTGACCAATGTTCAGAAAGAAATGTCACATGGGAAACATTCTTTTGGCAAATGCTAGGTCTTTAGATTCCTACAGATTGGGCGAAGAGTATACTAGAACTTGTTTACCGATCATTCCTTTTCCAGGATACTACATATCTACCTTGATAAACAATGACTTTTTAAGACGATACTGCAATAATATACCACGCTAAACCTGTTCGAAATTGGTATAAAAATGTTAAAGGAGATTTCGGTGATCTGCTAAGCTAGCACAATCACAGAAGCTCATTTGAATTAAGTATCACTGAGATGAGCTTGAGTGTCTTATTCTCAACTATAATCATGTGCTGTTGAAAAATTTGAATCAAGTGTACACTATAATCCTTGATAAATGAGACATAGCCAACTTGCGACATGTAGTTATGCTTTCGCCACGCTTATTTCAGGCTATCAACGGAGCAATAAGTGGTCCAACTTAATATCACCTAAGATCTAATCAATGGGGGCAGTCCGTGAAAGAAATATTATATACCTTGTTTATATAAGAGATATAACATTTCCTATGTTTTTACATAGGACCATAACAGATCAGTACCATTAATGTGAATTTCAACTTTCAATAAAAGAAGTATTTACACTGTAAACCAACTACGTGTCTAGGGTACTTAGGAGAATTAACACATTATTAACAGGCCCCTTACGAGCCAGTGGGAGACATTTAAAAAAACAAAAAAAAACTACCCAATCCGGTTTTTCTTAATTTGAACTGAATTGGCTATAAAGCAGGCATTTACAGCACCCCTTTAGCGTTAGCGCTGCGAAAATTGATTTTATTTGATAAGGTGACTGAAATCCGCCAGCGCATCAAGAGCTTAACGGCCAACCTCAATAAGCATGGAATTCTTTAAATGACACGCCGAGATATTCAGGAACCGTTTAGAACCACCTTGGTAGGTATTGTACAGCAAGCCGAGTACAATATTATTTCTGTAGCTGCTTTCAAACTGTTCCTGTCTGCTCATCCTACTGCTGACTATCGTGATGCTTCGAGCTTCCCTACCGAATCGCAAGTGAAATCGTTCGTATCTCAATTGAAAACTAAGCATAAAAGCTTGGCAATCGCTCAAATAATGATGCTGAGAATGTGGCTCTATTGATATATACTGAATTTATTCCCAGCGGGTAGACCTTAGTACTAGCTAGTACGGACACTTGAGGATGCTGTATTTCACTTAAAATTTATCAATTAACAAACGAAAACTTGTCTCGAAGTTGACTCGAAAAGATACGTCTAAAACGAACCTCTTTAGGAGTTTCGGATTTAATTTACTCTTAATATTCAACAAATTGTAATGTAAAGTCACGCCTTTGATCCTGAAGGACGTATTAAAATGTATGTTATTGGGTTTGCAATAATTACTAATATATTTGGTAAATATTTTGGTATTTTGTTTCTCCAGGAAGCATAAAAGTGGGTGGCTATCTATTTAAGGTTATATCCCAAGACATAAATGTACTTAGGTAAAATTCCAAATAAACATTGAATGATTTGTTGATAAACAAATATATAGGCCATATATGAGTTATAACCGTGATGATTAAATTTATTGTGTAATAATAATTTCAACGCTGCTAAAAACTGTTACTTCTCCTATTATTGTTGAACGCAAAATGAGGAAATAATTATTAAACTCACATTCATCATAAGTATCAATGAGTTTCTTAAAACATAAATATAATCATTTGAAGTTATTAAAGTTTCTTTATATTAGCAAATATTAGATCATCATCAATATTATGGATACTTTTACAGAAGTGTTAAAAAAGATTTTAAATGGGCTACAAGATATTTAGCCATACACTCATATAACATAATTCTGGTATGTGATAAAACGTCTTTGATAAATCACACTGTCAGTAACAGCCCATGATTTGTGAAAATGTATTACAGTT